ACCAGGGGGGTGGAGGGTGGGAAGGGATAGACTGGGATTTCAAAATTGTTGAATAGATAAACAAGATTACACTGTATAGCACAGGGAAATATACACAAAATGTTATGATAACTCACAGAAAAAAAAATGTGACAATGAGTGTGTATATGTCCATGAATGACTGAAAAATTGTGCTGAACACTGGAATTTGACGAACATTGTAAAATGATTATAAATCAATAAAAAATGTTAAAAAAAACTTCACTCCGCTTGAGAGGGTGAGTATCACTTTCAATGCGGTGTCTAATTAAGTTTTTTTTGGTAAAAGACTGAAGAGCCAACCTCAGGTATTTGTGAGCTGGGGACTCCGGAGGTGCTGGTTGAGGCTGTCTCGGCAGGCATGGAAGGGGGAGGTGGCATCGTGCCGATTACGCATTGAGCTGCCGGAAAGGTAAAGAGGGTAGAGTAGGAATTACTTGCGTGTGAAATTCCTGAAGGAAATTGGGTCTAGGGCCCAAACTCTAAAATGGATTTATTGAGCCTTCATTCTCTGGTCCTCACCTCATCAGTCTTGTACCCCAACCTGCAGTGACTGTGGATGGGGGCACAGCTCACACCATTAGGCCCTGACGGTAGGGACCCTTTTGATACTGTTACACGTGACATGGAACATGAGATACACAAATATTTTAGTTTAAAACTGGAACTAATCCTCCAACTTCGTATGTTTGCCATTGCCCCAAGCGCTTCCCTGCCTCCCAGTTCCAGCATCCCTCACCCCTTCCTCGGAATGAACTTGCACCGTGATTTGCATTGTCCTCATTGTATGTCCTCGGATGGGACTACCAGAGAAAGAAGAAAGATGTGAAGATTCTTCAGTGACCATGTTAGAACTGTGAACCACATTCATGGGTCTTTTCTTTATGGAAGTATAGTTGATGTACAGTATCAGATAAGCTACAAGTGTACAATAGAGTCACAATTTTTAAAGGTTATGCTCCACTTATAATTATTACAAAACATTGACCATGTTCCCTGTGTTGTGTGGTACATCCTTGTAGCTTGTTTTATACATAATACTCTGCACCGCTTAATCCCCAACCCTATATTGTCCCTTTCTCTTCCCTCTCCCCGCAGGTAACCAAAGTTTGCTCTCTAGATCTGTGAGCCTACGTCTTTTTTGTTCTATTCACTAGTTTGTTGTATTTTGTAGGTTCCACATATAAGCGATATCATACAGTTTGTCTTTCTCTGTCTGACTTATTTCCCTCAGCCTAATACCCTCCAAATCCATCTACGTTGCTGCAAATGGCAAAATTTCATTCTATACAATGGAATACTACTCAGCTATCTTTTTAGTTTTTTGGTGAAGTATCAGTTCAAATCTTCTGCCTAATTTTTAAAATTGGTTTGTCTTCTAATTACCGATTTTAAAGATACTTAAATAATAAAACCGTAAATTTACCCTTATAGTCTCCATTTTCAGTGCTGTCAATCTGATTGATTATCAGTCAGTTTGAAGTTTTCCTGTAACTCACTGATGCTCTATTCATTATTTAGTCATTTTTCTCTCTGTCTTGCATTTGGTGTAATTTATATTACTGCCTTCAAGTCACTGATCTTGTCTTCTGTAATAGCTAGTGCATGTTTCTTTCTGTTGTTTGTGGACTCAATTTCCCTTTCAGTCTTCCGTATGCTTCTTTCCTCATAGGTTCATTGGGGAACGTAAATACGTTCCTCCCCAGTTTAGGTCGGCCACCTCTCAACTTCCAAAACTGGCACTGAAGTTTTCTACCTAGGGAAAGGAAATTTGGAATAAAGCTTGTCATAGTTTATTATAACAGTGTATTTTCCTTTATCTCTTTTCTTCAGTGTGCCCGGTACGATAACGTCTTCATTGCAGAGATCCTGATTGACAGGGGGGTCAACGTCAACCACCAGGATGAAGACTTCTGGACCCCCATGCACGTCGCCTGTGCCTGCGATAACCCGGATGTCGTCCTGCTGCTTGTCTTAGTAAGTAAGGCAGCTCAGTGCGTTACCATTTGAAGATCTGATGGCATATAAACGTCTATATATTTATCTAATAATGTTTCACAATATGTAATACTTCAGTTGAGGAAAAAAGGTGTGTATACGTCATCAATTGTTTGCCTGAAATTACAAGAAAATTAGAGACTAAGGTTGTGGTCACCTTTGATTCAGAAAACAGGTTGCGTAGACACCATTCCAGGCTCTCCTCCTCTCGCCTTTTCCTTGGAAATTATACCCTCAGTGCCTCACAAGTCAGTCCTGACTAAAATGATTTGATAATTGCTGTTTTTTTCTATCAATTCATTCTTCTAATTTTTAGCCGAACTAGACATATAATAACAAGGAGAAGAAGTTTATAGTAAATCTTCCTTGTTTACATCTAGTAAAGAAGTGTCTGTACCATTTATTTACATGAAAGTGAAAACTTTAAGTATAAGACTCATTAAGTTATGTGTTGCCATTGTCTTCAGTGATAGCTTGGACTCTGATGTGGATTTTCATGCATACTATAGTTATTTTAGAATTGGGATTTTCTGATTAATTTATCTCTAATGAAGATTTTAGAAATTATGCAGAGTCTTTAGAAAACATGCAGAATACAAGAATAAGAATGAATGATTCGTTGATTTGCTTTTTCCCTTTATTAATAAAAATTGTGTAATTCCTTAATGATTTTCTATCATCAACCTGGCTTTTCTCATAAGCCCTGAAGATTTTACACACAAGCAAACTGACACTCAAAGATATTAAGCAACTTTCTATAGGCCAAAAACAAACCATAGATTTGAACTCCAGATCATTGTCCAAGGTCTGTCCTTTCTCCCCTGGATCGTGCTGCCTGTGTTAACAAATTACCACATACTTGATGGCAAATACAAGTTTATTCTCTTACATTCTGGAGGCTAGAAGTCTGAGATTAAGGTATTGGCAGAGCTGGACTCCCTTCCCCGAGTTCTAGGGAAGAATTCTTGCTTGGCTCTCCCTGGCTTCTAGGGACCCCTCGCCGTCCCTGGGGTTCCTCGATCATAAATGCATCCCTCCAGTCTCTGCCTCCGTCATCACGTGACCTTCTCCCCTGTGTCTCTGTGCTCCAACCCCTCTCTTTTTTTTAAATGAAGACAGCAGTTACTGGGTTTAGGGTCCACCTTAACGCAGTATGACCTCATCTGACATTGTCTGCAAAGACCTTATTTCTACACTAAGACCATGCACAGATATTAGGGGTTAGGAGTTGAATATGTCATTTTAGGGAGCCCAGTTAATCCCACTAATTCTCCCTTCTTCCTCCCTTTTAAAATCATAATCAGAAGCATCTTAAGGTACAAGGCTATAAATAGAGACTTCCGTAATCTTGTAAGAGGTTAAATTTCATCTAGTTTTCTCTTATTTGCCCCTCAATAATTTATGTCCTTTTTTGTTTTTATAGTAGAAATATATGTCACTGAAAAAACGTGTTTCTTCCAAATCCTGGAAAATGGCAGCTCTATTCAATAAATAAAATAATATGAGAGAAATAAAGATGGTTTAGCTTGAAACAGAATCACTTGGAGGGCAAATACTCTACAGGAAAACACACAAAAAATGCTTAACTCATTTATAAGAATAAATTTTCATTTTACAGAAATTGAGCCTATAAGGAACTAAACTAACAATTCAGCAGGAAGGCTGTGGGATTTGCTTAATGTTAAAGAAAAATATAAAAGATACTTTACAAGGGAACTGAATGGTCTTTGAGTGATACTGTGAAATTATCAGCTGTGGAATATGGAGTGTATACTAAACTATTTAGGGATAAAGGGACATGGTGCTTGTGACTCAATTTTAAGAAATCTAGGAAACATAAAAGAGACGGAGAAAGCAAAAATAGTAGAAAAGTACAATGACTGGTGAATTTGGGTAAAGGGTAGTGTCAGTTTCCCCGGGTGGCTGTAATAAAGTTCTACAAATGGGGTGGCTTCAAGCAACTTGTCGTCTCACAGTTTTGGGGGCCAGAAGTCCAAACTCAAGGTGTTGGCAGGGCTGAGTTCCCTCTAAAAGCTCTAGGAGAGGGTCCCTCTGTGTCTCTTCCCTCTCCTGGTGGTCCCCAGTACCCACTGGCTTGTGGCCGTCTTCCCTCTGTATCTGTCGTGGCGCCAGTGCCCCCCCTCTTGTAAGGACACCTGTTACTTACAGTACCCCAGAAGGACTGCATCTTAGCTGTTCACATCGGCAATGGTCCTACTTCCAAAAAAGTTCACGTTCACGGGTAGCAAGGGGTTAGGGTTTCAACATGTCTTTGGGGGGGATACGATTCAACCCATAACACTCATAACAAGAACACAAGAGTTCTTTGTACCACTCTTGCAACTTTGAGTAAACTTGAAGTTATATCAAAATTAAAAGTTACCAAAAAGTATTTGCGTATGAAAAGAAATTTGTTCACTAAAATGCTATCGGGTACTGTCATTGAAATTACAGTATCAATGTGCCAGAGAATTACTGCTGAATGAAACAGTCAACAAATGTCGACCTTATAGTGCTACATAAAGTAAACTAATAAAATGTTTATTGACAGAAAATGTGCATTTATTTGTTCATATGTCATCTGACTGGCAATAGGATTCCTACTTGAGGAGAGCGATAGATCTGAGTTCTGTTTCCAACACCTCAGGAAATGTTTTAAGACCAGTTGGAGACTGGGTGGCCTTCCAGTTTGAATAATGAGACAGGAAGGGTACTCAGGGCTCCCAGTGGGAATTTCCCAGTCCTCAGCCGCAGAAGCATTTGGGGCATTTGGTTTTGCATGTCTAACAGAGACTACTTCTGTTTCCCTGATGAAGCCCAGCTGACGGACTTGCCTCAGACTCCTGCCTTGCGGGTCATCAGCGCCTCAGTTCCAAAGGGACCCGTTAACAACTGTCCGTGCTCACTAGCTTCTGAGTTAGACTAAGAGTGACAGTCAGCCAGGAGTCTCATCTGCGGTGGTTTATAGATACATCTCCAATTTCAGAATTTTAATTCAAGAAATACAGCTTCTTCAGGGGGTTATTGAGGAGATTTGTTTTATCGCATGTGCATCAGCTCTTCCAGGGTGTCTACCAAGGCCAGCCAGCCAAGTGTGTGCACAGAGCCACTGCAGGTGGGGTGTCTCGCCCGTGTCCCGTGGCAAAGAAAGGAAGGGGCAAGGAAGGAAGGAAGACAGAGAGAGGGAGAGAAGGAGGGAGGGAGGGAAAATGAGAGGAAGGAAGGCAGGAAGGAAGAAAAGCCTCCCACATTGTCGTCCATCTAGAAAGAGTGGAAGCAGGACACTCAAGTGTGCATACGGTGGTTTTGCAATTTTATGCACATAACACTCTTAAAATTAAACATCAGAAAATGTAGTAAAAAGGAAGTGTCACAAAAATGAAAATTCTGTGCTTCAATTTTTAATAATTCCGTTAAGTTCGTGTTTGGCTTTTCATTTTTCAATTCATTTCAGTAAATTGCTTTCAGAACCTAATCTGTGCGGGCACGGCTGGGAACATGAAGAGGAGTAAGGCGTGATCTGTGATGAGGGCCATTCCCAACCCCGGGGATGTCCGTGCACAGAGTCACTCCTGGTTATTCAGCAGCAGAGACCCGTGGGTGATGAATGGGCTGAAATTTCAATGAGGGAACCCAGTTAAAACATTCATCACCATGTTTAAGTTCCAGACTTTCTTTGAAAGAGCCTGTTACTTCGTTAAGAATAGAAGAGATTCTCTCCCAGTGGACTGCTTCTCTCAGCAGCACGTTGCTCTGTTTACTTGTGCTTTTATTGATAATATGTGACTCTTAATTATATTCAGTGTGGTCGGGAACCCAGAGGTTTGATATCTGTAAGATGCTATCTGAAACATGTATGCATTGGGAAAAAAAGATGAACTTGATTATCTCCCACGTATTAGCACGGAACTCAGTAAGGGCACTTGGTTCTATGTCTTAATTGATTCTCTAGCTTGGATAGGTAATGCAAACCCTGCTTCTCCTCCTGCGTGGAGACTTAAGAAAAGGGATCGTTAGCAAGGTCTGCTTAAGACTATTGCCTCAAGTAACTTCTTTTCAGACTCTGAGTAACTGAACTGAAGTGAAATGAACTCAGGAGATAATTGGAAGTCTTCAGGACCTTAAAATTGCGCTTTCCTTGAATGAGTGAAAATCTGAAATGTATAACTTGCTCTGTTCAAATAAAGGATTATCTTTATATGGTTATAGACAACACAATGTGGTGCACTCTAGATGGTAGGATGAACAGCACAGCTGATGTGGAGGGCAAACAGTAAGATACGGGACATTTTACCACTTTGACCTGCTGTTTTATTTTCTTTTTACAGCAGATTAGAGTAGTTCTTTGGAAAACCTGTGCAGACTTGCTAAGACATGGGAAAGTTGTGTATATACAAAAAGCAAAACCTCACCTTTAAATATATATAATTATTAGTGTGGTATTCCTTTTTATGTAAAGTTATAAACCTGGGTATTATATAAACCATACTGACTATATACATTGCAATACAGATTCCTATTCAGTAAGAATAGGGTGAAGCTTGCATTTGTCTGGCCGAGGTTTAGTGACGTGTTATTGGAGGCATATGAAGATCTTGCCTGGGAAATTTCAGGGAGCTCATTGAAGAATGTGGAGCAGTGGTGACAATGGATGTGACCAATCTTTAAAGAGTAAAAGCACTTCAATCATTGTATTTAGGCTGGGATGGGCAAAGAGCGGAGCAGATGTGCTCGGAGCTGCTTGAGAGAGAGCCTTTTGAAGCT